TGTGATGTGAGTGCACAATATTGCTGAAATATATTTGAACTACGGTAACAGAATCGTGAAACCACAATAATAATGTTATTCGTTTATCTCATTTATATCACAATGTTCAACGGAATTAATTGAAATATTTACGTAAATAAATGTTTCCAACACTTAAACAACTGCAAAAACAGGAATTGTAAATCATATTTCTAACATTCTCCGCAGGAATGTGAAGATTAAATTACAATGCTTGATCTTTTATGCGCCAGGTTTAAAACAATTATTGTTATTATAACTATTATGATTATCTCCAGTTTACAACTAAGGTAGTTTATATTTTAGATGAGGTCTTAAAATAGTTTCCTTTACACGTTTTAGAGGAAACTATCTCCTATTTCGTTTTACGAGTTTATCTGCACCCTTGAACTAGAAGCGAACACAAATAGAATGCAATACACATTCAAGAGATAATACAATGCGAACCGAGAAATTATTCAAAACATGAACTGCTAGCGAAGGCAACAGAAAGAACACCCTGTAAGTCACGCGAAGCTCCTTCGACGCGTGCGAAACACGTCAATGTAGGAGAGGGGAGGGAGAGAAGGCCGTTTGGGGACAGAGCATAATGCAACAGGAGGGAGAGAGAGAGAGAGAGAGAGAGAGAGAGAGAGAGAGAGAGAGAAAGAGAGATGGCAAAGATACTACAAAGTCGCAAGTTGGAATATAGGGTGTCAGACAATGGGGACACACCAAAACGGCGACGGTAGGGCGTTTGCAGGATAAAACCAAACAAACGAAAGTTGTCTGTTCTCTGAAGGCAGGTACGCTGATAGAAAATCCATGTCATGAATCGTTTTCAGCCTCGAGAATTTAAACACCCAACGAATCTGTCAAAGAATACAATGAAACCTCAATAACCTGAAGTCTAAGGGAGAAAGAAGAATACCGAGTTATCGAAAATGTTCCCTTTTCAAGATATGAAAGTTATTCGTACGTCTGGAAAAGAGAAGTAATTCATATTCGAGGTGTGAAAAAAATAGAGATATCTTGTTCGAGAAATTGTTTCTTTGTATTGCAATATAATTGTTCTTAATTTAATATTAATTACATATATTTTGTCTTTGTAATCGTATAGAGAGATACACTTGATGTTTAACAACGGATATTTTTATTAGAACGTTTTTTAACTGAACTGATTATTCTTGAACAGGAATATTTTTAAACAGTAACAGAAATACGACCTCTTTAACTGTACATTCAGCACAATGTGAGGTCATACACGACTCATACGTGCCAAAAACAAGGGTCAAACTCAGGGATTCGATAACCACGACGCTTCGTACACAGATGTTGGACCGGGACGCGCTCTAATAGCCTCGGCCACTCGAGTTGGCACCCAACACATACAATTTCGTTTATAAATGAAAATCAATACTACCTTTGTACCCGAACATGTTAATGAACACATATGAACATACACATGCATAAACAAAACGTTCTTTGGTACTTAGCGCCGAAGCAAAACTGGAATAGGAGTCCATTTTGTCTAAACCAGGATGAGAAATGAAACGGAAAAATACAGTCATCTACGGGGAATTGTGCTGTAACATGAGGTCGCAGAGAAAAGTCGCACGAACAGAGATTGGGAAGTCCATTTGAAGCTCCGCGTTACATGAGATTTGAAGAGATGAGGGTTTCGACAGCGTTCGGTTGCAGAGACAAACGAAAACGGGGTCACGGCTGAGTTCGGTGCGGAGTAGGAGTATGTAGTACGTGGCGCGGGGGCGGGGGCAGATGCGATCGCAGCGCTCTGGCGGCTGGGACGCGCCGGAGAGGCGGCGTGGGAGGATCAGGCACACACACGGTGGGGCGGGGCGGGGCGGGGCGGAGGGGAATGGGCGGAGGGGGGAGAGGCGAAGGGTTGGATGGCATCGCTAGGGCGAACACGTGCACGAGCGCAAAAGGGCGGAGGAAAAAAAGGCACGCAAAGGGCTTGGTTCGGCATCAAACATTTAGGAACTCGTTTCTAGAATTTGTTTCTTCCATTTTTATAGTAAATTTACTTATTTTCGTGTGCATGTTTTGATAAATATCTTAAATGAATTGTTTTTAATTAGGGCGCAAATTATAAACAATTTGCGGGATTAAGATAAAGACATAACTCGTTTTAATAAGCTGCATATGTCACATTAAGAGAAAATATTTACAAATATTGAACACTTACAAATTCATGATATTTACGGTTAAAATGTAGTAATACAGTGTACGCAATAAGATGTCTAAAACTTATTGTTAGAGTCACAGAATGTTTTGGTATAGAAATTCTATTCGAATACATGTAGAACTATTGTACACTATAACAACAAGAAATGTGTTTGAGATTTTTTTTATCATGTGAACAAAATTCTTAGAAACATAAAGCCGTTTTCGAAGGATCGGATATCATCTCTGGCAGCCGTGTATGTTTCGCGCTTTTCGAGAAATGCAAACTTCTAAATCGATAGAGAACTGCTTCCTTCCACAGTTCACAGGAAACGTTGAGTTAAATTCTATTCATAGAACTGACTACGGCATTTCAAAAAAGGGGTTTCAATTCCTTTTCTAGAATTAAGTTCACAATTACGAATTTAAGACGAAATTATGTTTTGCTTCTGCCTTACGTTAATAGTAATTTCTATAACTCAATATTTATATACTTGGCATTTTATTATTTTTACATTTCATCTCTTTACCTACACAATGTCTACGCTAGATAATATCCCATGTTAAGAAACCTTGGCTACAGAACAAATAGGTCAAATAAGATATCAATTTTCACATCTAATTCAAAAATCTAGACACGGGGTGATTTTGCAACAGAATATTAAATCGCAGCACTAACCTAAACGTTCAATTTTCGAGATCCAGTTATCTGCAAATCTCATTAAGTCAGTATCCTTTGATAGACAGCCTTCTATGTAATGGCATTGTTCTTTTTTTCGTCTTTTTGACTATTTTTTTTATTTTCAATTCCATGTGAGTGTACATACATATGTTGGTGTAAAGCATAATTAATGGTAAGCAACTTTTTCTGTTAACATGGATTAAAACTTAAAGTCGTGATGTAATGATTATCATTACACTTGTGGAACTCAAGTAATTCTTGCTGTTTATGGCTGAAGTGTTGCCATCGCAAATTCCTTCGACGGAGATCCGACTTCGTAGCGGTTACAAACCCTTGTATAAGAAGTGGGAAGAAGATGGGAGAACGCGGGCAGTGCGAGAGAGGCAGTCGCCAGAAGACGAATGAGGAGTGAGGCCAGAGGGCGAGTGAGGGTGGCAAGCGGCCTGTCAGGGCGGGGACACGGAAGGCGAGGCCGGTGGACACGGGTCGGGCGGGAGTAGGGGTGGCCGGCGAGGAGAAGGAATCGAGCAAACGACGACCGCGCGGCGAGCGGGCAACGCCGAAACAGCCTCGCGACGCGGCGGCTGCTGCTACACACGTGCGAAGCGGGGCCGCGCTCGGCAAGGCAGCGGACGGGTCGGGAGGAGATGCTGGAGAAACGAGCAGAGGGAAAGGGCAAGAAAAGGGAGAGAAGAGGGGGAGTAAGAGGGCCAGCGGTCAAGAGTGAGAACGCGTTAGTGTGGCCGCGGACGATACAGGTAGAAGCACCCAGAGGGATCGTGGCTGCGTCCTCGCCACAACCGTCTCAAAACGGACTGTAAAGGCCCATTCACAATGAAAACATAAACATAAGCATAGCGCATAGACATAAACATGAATGACTATGCGCTATGCTATACAGTGATAGACTGAAGTATTCACAATTGCAAACATAAATGTAGGCAACAGAGGAGCTTCTATTGGCTGTGATACATTCGGGTTTACTTTGGTTGGATATGAGAATCGATTTCAAGGTATCGACTGTGTCCATGGCCTATATGGCGTTAGTTCTTTTATCGACTTCGCTCCAATTTCGATTCTCTATTTTCAGTTACCGTTCTGTGATTGGTTCATTTCTTATGTCTTACTTAAGCATAAGCACAGAAGCTTGAAGTACCCAAAACTTTTAAGTTAACGGTCTTACGTGTTATTCCTTATGCGTAACGCATTGTGAATGAATCCGCTTATGGACACAATCCTAACTTTTTATGTAAGTCCATGCCTTGTGTTTACTGTTTGCATGTGAATGGCCTTAAGATTCTTGCCTTCGCCGAGGGGAACTAATAACGTAAGCGATTCCGCTAAGTTTCCATCCTGACCTACGAATTAACACATCGCAATCAATGACAATGAGTGGTATATAGTTTTAACTTTATAATTGTAATGCTATAAGGCTTTTGCCAGCCGAGTATATCTTTACGTTTTGTGGAGAGAGCGTAACTTGATTGGATGAGATGAGTGAAATCTACATGGTGTTTAGCTTTCACGACAATTCATGTGTGCTAACTGATCAGATTGGCAAAGAATGTGTGAATGACCCTCAAGGAGTTGGACCCATTCTCATTACAGTTCAGATTGGGCACGGCAGCGACGTCTACTACATACAAATCACACACTACCACAATCACACACGTCTACCAGCCACAATTTATCAAATTGAAAAAAGACTTTCGGGACGAAAATTCTCACATGAGCAGTGAGTAAGAGAAGCAGTTTTGACCATTTTTTCGAACAAAACTTTCAGGGAATTTTCAAATGCTAAAAATGTTAATATAACAGATGTGAAAAAGTGGGGTAAAAGTGAAAAGATGATCAAGTTGAAACATTGCATAATATTTTATTTCTATCAAAAATAGAAATTAGAGTCCAGAAACTTGTGGAACTACCAGTGTATCTAGAGGGCGTAAAAATACTAAGAGAAACTTTTATAGGCGCAAGTCTTGCGGCAAAAGGCGGGGGCGAGGAATGCATTAGCTGCGTGGCCGGTCGCAAGGGGGAGGAGGCGGGCGGGGCGGGGGACTGTTGTCGGAGAGCGCTGGGCTCGTTCTGTCGGGGGCGTCCGAATCGTTCGGGGCAGGGCAAGCGTGTCGGGGGCATGGCGGCGCTGGGGGAGCGATGTGATGTGCAGGCGGGTCAGGCGAGTGGGCAACGGTGAGCGAGTAAGCAAGGGCGGTGGCAGAAGAAACGCGTGGGTATTGGAAGGAGTGCGGGGGCGGGAGTGACAGGAGCGGGAACTGAGGATAGGTGTATGAAGGCGTTCGGGGAGTGAGCAGGTGAACCGACGAGGATCAAACGGGGCGGCGGGCGAACGGGCCAAAACAAGCCGGAAAATTCTTTGCAGAAAGGTGAAGAGATGTGGGCCAGGGCAACCCGCGGGCGTCGGAGGTGGCGCGCGGGTGCGGGCGGGAAGAGTGACAGGCATCGCGCGGGAGGGTGAAGGGAGAGGGCAGAAGGGAGAGAAAGCGGTGCGGTGCGCGAGCGGAGCTCGCGTGGCTGTGGGTGAAGGAGGGAGGAGAGGGAGGAGGAGGAGGAGGAGAGGAGTAAGGAGGGAGAAAAGGAGGAGGAGAGGAGGGTCGCTGAGCAGGCCACGGGGGAAGGCAGGGTGGGCGGTGAACGAGCGCGGCTCTGCGTGCGAGGTCAGCGGGCGGGGTGGGGCGGCCAAAGAGTAACGGCGCTCAGCAGGTGTGATGTAGAGGGGTGGGCCGAGGGCGAAACCCGCAAGCGCGAGCGCTGCTGTGGCGAATATAACTGGCGCGGGTGAGAGAGGGTCAAGTGGAAGAACGGCGGCGGGCGAGTTGGGAGGCGCCTGCAACGTGGCACGGTTCGAAAAAAAAAAGAGGAAGTGGAGATTTCAGTAGGAGGTTG